CCAGTGAGATGCTGGGCAATCTTATAATTTCTGTCTTGCCCAAGACTCAGTTGATTCTATCCCCAACCAAGAACCTTCTCAGCCAGTCTTCAATAACACTTTCTTGAGGATAGATGATATCAGAAGAGAGAGAAGTTGGACAGGATTAGGCCCAGCTGCACACAACTGATAGTATTTAGGGAGGTAAATATTCAGTTTGTGCTTGGTAAAGCCAATGGAATAATGCTATTCTATGAAAGAATTCATGGATGGAAATTGCCAGCGCAAAAACATTTCTGAATTTGTTTAGACGCATCTTCTGGCATATCTTGTCTGCTCTTTCTGAAGCTGCCATTTTGATAAATCATGTATGTGCTGAATTTGGACTAAATTTTCAACAGTGGGGTTAGCTTGACAATTTATTATGGCAATAACCAGATATAAACGATTTTTTTTACTAAGCCCAGGACAATTTAACATCACATATTCTCTAGGAAATAGTTTTCTGTTTCGCTGTCACTGATGATGCCATTTGTGAATATATGTATTCAAAATTCTAAATATAGCTATTGAGCTATAAAATATTGCAGATTTCTAGGGTATAATGATCTCATAGAACAGTCCCTCAATTAGTCCAATTTCTTTTCCAGGTATTGATTGTATATGTGTACCACTTAGTATAATGGTGTCCAGGATGATACTTGGATCAACTCTTACATTACAAAGAAATTAAATACCAACTTTTATTATTCCCTTTGTGTCAGAATGTTAAATTGGGTATCTAGATTAGCAAATCTAGATGTTCTATTTGATTTTTTTTCATTCAAAGCAGATTTTTTTCAAACTTTCAATAGCTCCATTATTTCTGATAGGAAGGAAAGAAAATGTATGTTGTGATGTGCCAGCTAGCTCATATTGATCCATGGTTAGACAACTTTGTATAGAGGCAGCAGTCATAGAACTCCATGACTGCTGGTCCTGGATAGGTGATGGTCCCAAACTAGGCATGTTAAGAATTTGTTAGAGGATGTTAGAAATTCACAGGATCCCAGGTACCCTTCTCTGGACCTCCATTTTAAGCCCTTGAGTCACTTCTTTACTGGGAGAGCAATGGATGTGAAGAAAAATTAAAGAGAAGCTAAGGAAAATCTGTGTATTTGGTGAAAGCAGTTGTCAACCCTGAAGCTGAAAATATAAAGATATAAAATATCATACAGCTACAGATGTCAGAGGTAGTGCATTTGTGTCTGATTATACTCAAAAATCTAATTTCCATAATACTGGGAGGAAAAAGTGCAACTCTTTCCCAGCAAAATCCCAGGATCAGAAGCCACTAATACTAGTTGCAAACCACAAAAGAGGCTATCAATTCGTGCAAGCAATACATCCGTGCCTTGAGGGGATCCACTGGGTAAAATTAGCCTGTGTTAGCATTTAACAAACTGAAAGAGAAGTGAAATACATCCCCTCCCTCCAGTGAATAAAATAAAATTTTATTTCAATTTGACATAATGCTCTGTGCATAAAAATGGAAACCTTAATTCCACAATGGATGATGGCCTGCAAAAGCTAATGGAGTGAGGAGAGTTGGCTAACTGACTGCTTTAATTAAAGAAAAGAATACAACTAACTTTTTTTCTACTTGGAAACCACTTCTGGACTTTATGCTCTGCTTGAGGGGGAAAAATGAAACTTTGATATTGGATTTTGTTGATTAGATAAGTTTATTGTCATAAAAATGGCTAGTATGTGGTATCATGCAAAAGTAAAAAGTTGAGGCGGTACATTACCTTACTCTACTGCACAAGCAAAATTGGAAGTCAACAGTTTTTTCTTTTACCTTTTAGCTTACATTTTTTCCTCTTCCCTTTTCCTTTATTCCTTTTCCATGCTTTTCATTTTTCTTTGTATTTATATTTTGATAAATGAAATTTTAAATTGAAAAAAATATTGGGACTTGAATTTGAGGTGGTTTGAAAGGATTCTTCTTAAGGGATTCTGTATGTGCAATACTTCTGAGGACTTCAATTATATCTTAATATTAAAAACATTTATCATAATGTTATAGTGTAATCTTCTGACTATTGATTATTTAATGTATAAATATTGATTATACAATGTAAGAGTTTAATGGCAGTGAGTTTTTCAAAGTGCTTTAAGACTAATGAGTGCTTTCATGCTGATTACTTTGGAGTTTTAATTATTTACTTAGATATTTAAATGGCAGAGTTATTTAAAAAAATACTGAAATACCAGCAGCACTTATAAAAATAAGGACCCAATCTTCTATTTACTAAAAAAAATGCTTAGTTTATCTCATTTCCTTTACATTCCATAAAACATTTCAATTAACTTTTGAGTTTTGTTGGGAAAGATCAAAATCAACTTCTCCATATTGGGAAATGAGTATGTCTAGTGATCCTCAAAGTAGAAAAGGCAGCAATTTGAATTGTTTGCACTTTTTTATCTCTTATCTCCTGAGTCTTTAACTGGACCTTGGATAAAGGACAGTGACACCTTGCTCTCCAGTTTATCAATATTATTTGTACCGTATTTGCCGGCGTATAAGACGACTGGGCGTATAAGACGACCCCCCAACATTTCCACTCAAAATATAGAGTTTGTTATATACTCGCCGTATAAGACTACCCCCTCTTCCGTACACCTTCCACATACCAAATAAAAGGTAAAAGAACATCAGATTTGATTTCAACATGTTAATTTATATTCAAATGCTTATGACATGCAGGAAAACTCACAAGGCTGTGAAAGTATGCCAAATAATAGAACATAAGTAATTTTCCGATTCAGAGCAGGTATAGTTCATAGTTTTATAAAATGTGTGTGTGTGCCTAAATTTCAAATTACCCATTTACCATGACTTGTCATGGACAGGCAACTTTATTAAAAGAATTCTATTTCAGCTAAGCCGGAAAGACACAAATAGGGCCTGCAGAAGCATAATTTTCACTCTGATATTAATTGTGGCAATGTTGCATTTTAAACTAGCCATGATTAATTATATCCAAATTTTCACACCCACACTCCCCTTCCTTTAGCTTTCTGAAAACCCCACATTCGCAGATCCCATTTTAGCAATGCATCTAAGATTTGACTTGCCAGCCACTATCATTAAATTATGCTTGCTAAAATATGAACTGAAATATGAACTGAAATATGAACTACCCTGCAAAGCTGCCCATAATGAAGATAAGTTGATCTTGATGTCAATCCTCCTCAGCCTTTCACTTGTCTTTTACTTGATACCGCTGCCAAACCTGCTTTTCCATCGATACCAGAGTAAAAAGGTGACATTGCTCCCCGCAGCAAGAGAAGACAATGTGGGATGTGAGAAAGAGGAGAAATTGCAGTGAAATTAAGGAAATTAGGTGTTTGTGTTTTTTTTTCCTTTCCCCCTTCGGGACTGGATCTAGAAAGTTGTCATTTTAACATGAGCGCTCCCCTTCTTCTCTTCCCACCCCCAACCTCTGTTTCGTCTTTAAAGAGAAAAAGACACCCATTCTGCTTTATTGTATCTGACATAGTGGGCTTTAGTTCAGAAGCTGATGTCACTCAACAGGCAAGTCCTTTCGGAAAACGCCAGGCCCTGCCTGGTCTTACCCAACGCTGCTTGCCAGGGATCTGGCAGGAAAGAAGGAGTTCCAGATCCTTTTTCTTTCTAGCCTCTCCACCTGCCTTTCCCGAGTCCATCCAAGGACGCGCCTGAAAACCAGGTTGATTCTGGGTAACGTCTAAGCCCCAGAGGCGGGGTCCGATCAGTCCCTTCGCCCAGCTCCACAAAAGGTGAAATCGCCAGCGAAGCAAAACAAACGGAAGGAAGAAACCGAGCAAGCCGGGTCAAGAGCTGCGCTACCTCTAGCTGAGCCTTAGCGGTAGTAGGGACCCACATCCCACCTCCGCCCCACCTCAGCGAGAGGGAGCCGGCTGGATTGCGGGGCGTAATCCCTCCCTGGCAGAGCTATGGGTAACCCGACGCTCAAGGCTACAACTGAATGCAAAGTCCCCGCTCTGAGATCTGCAGCTAATTTACGAGGAACCCTTTGCAATTCGCCAGCGCCTGCTATGACCTCAAGGAGAGGGAGAAGCGAGCCTCCTCACCAACAAGGCGAAGAATATACCCGGCGTATAAGACGACCCCCCCACTTGGAGGCATGTTTTTCAGGGCAAAAAAGTCGTCTTATACGCCGGCAAATACGGTATTTATTTTATTATTGAGAGCAGCCCAGAACATCTAGATTGAAATACTGTACACAACCCAACTGTGAACTTCAGCTAAAAACAATCAAATTTTTTTCTTTAACAAATGTATATCTGCAAATTATATTTGTGTGCATATGTGTATATGTAAATATGTATGAGTATATACATATTGTCCAGGAACAGGAACAGGAAAAGCACTAATATTGAGTTAAAATATTGAGTAAAAGTATTAGTGACATTTAATTATCTGAACATATACAGATTATCTGTATCTTACACCTGTACATATTCTCACATGGAAAAACCCTTTTCATAGAAAGTTAGATTCAAGAAATATCTATCTACAGTATACCAAACATAATTCTCAAGGGAGTTCATTTCAAAAGATGGATGTACTGTAGAAAAAGGACCCCTCCTGCATGTCTGAAGAAGAAAATCATGAAAACCTTTACTTGTGTGGTTATGTTTGTAATGACTATTCTGCAAATCGGTCTTACTCTGCTTTAATTATAAAATATAGCATTACTACTTTATGCTGTGCTCAGAAAACAGAAAAACAATTTCGCATTATTTTATAGCAACTGCAATCTTTAGGTAATTTTCAAGGATAGTTCCATGTAAAGTGTAGAGTAGTGTTACAGTCAAGACTAGCTGTAAAATAAGCCATGGAGAACATGTAATGGTAAATGGTAAACTCAAAACAGTCTACCTGTAGCAGAAGCAAGATTCAGTAAAACGTTTCAATGTTTATAACATTATACAAATAAATTATTCATATTCTTGTATTGGAACAATAAATAGACATTTTAGAATGCTTTATTACAAGCAACAAAGTTCCAGCAAGGCACTTTAACATAATAGCAGCAACAATACTACAGTACTTTACCACTAAAAGTCTAATATATTATTCTAACTATTAGGATTTTGTACAGCAAATTGAATGTGTTTTAAAATCAGAACAATTTTGACATTCACATAAAAATTATTCATGAAATCAGTGGGATATAAGCAAAACTGAATATGAAAGATGAGGGCAAGGGGTATACCAATTCTCTGAAAAGTATGTTTTCTGCTACCATGCAAATGAGATTTTTGAAACAGGTCTAACCATCCCTTGTCCCAATGTTAATGAACAGAAAAGAAAACCATTTGAAGAGCTGAGGAAAGCGAAGGATAATCTTCAGTGCTTGTGTAACGTTTAGGAAATGCAATGGGGTTCTTGGGAACAAGAGAAAAAAATGGCTGTAACTTCCCTCTTGCTGTAAAAGTGAGAATGTTTAGAATGAGGGAACGTCAAGATAATGGACAATCCCTTTCCTGTGGAAAATACAAAGTGACTGGCTCAGAAGACAGAAAAACTGCTATGAACAGTCTTAATGATTTAGAAAACATAACCCTAGCTTTAGAAGTACAAACTCCTGGGCTAAAATGTTCATCTGCAGCCACCATTGTAGCCAGGCTCCAAATTTTGGATTGAACAAACTCTTCCAGCTGAGAAAACTGGTTGTGTGGTACCTGCAGTGAGCCTTTCGAGAGTGATGGAGCAAAGAGTGCAACTTTGATACCCATTCTGAGGAAAGAGCATGAATCCCTTGCAAATAGGCTCTGAGAGTGAAAACATGCCATAAATTGTGAGCTAGGTCAAACAGGAATGAAACGACATGATGCACAAATTAATTTCTGCAGTTTACTGGAATACAAGACTACAAACAAACTGGCTACTGCTCAACGAATAAAAAAAAAAACAGAGTTGCTGCACTGACCCCAGCACACCTCAGAAAACTATTGAGTTCAATGTTGGGAAGTCTCTTGAAAGCCAAAATCAATTCTTCAGTCTTCTGATAGGAAAGGCAAAAATCTCCAACACTTTTTGACTGAGAAAATATATCAATAAACAGTCTCGGGAAGAAGGAAAGTGGTCAATCCCAACTTAATTCTTCAATGCCTGAAAGGACAAAGGGATACAAGAATGACGGGACAGGATCAGATCAACAATACAGAAATCTCTTGAGCAACCACCATGTTACATCAAGGTTAGATTGAGAATTTTAAAAACCCAGTGGCAAAACATTTAGGTATTGCTGCCAAGAAAACCAAATGAATAGGTCCATTGTTAAGTCTCCTGCTAATTATTTTTCACATTTGTATCTGCACACTGCCAACAAAACCAGTCCATGCACGTGGCAGTTTCTTAACAGAAGAATGTGTCAATGGATTTTCTTTTTTTTTTAATGTAAGTCTGCCACTGGAACATATCTTTGTGCAAAGTAATGGGACTGGGAATATTTTAAATCCTGAAGAATCAGGATTATGTTGCTTATAGCTTCATGCTTGGTGGTACGAAAACTGAATCAGGCAAACAAAGGGAAAGAAAAAGTAATGTCATTTTAAGCAGCACAATCCTGAGACAGGGAAAGGAAAGGCTATTTCATTAAAGAAAAGTTTTAAGGCAACATGTCACACAACAATATTGCTGCAATAAGAGTTCTTGACCAGTTGCATTTCCAAAAAATGTAGACTAGAAACATCTTTTTAATTATTTCTTTTATCAAAGAATTCAAATAATTTTTAAAAACAGAGTACGGAAATTGAATTAACTTAACATAATAACCTAACTCAACATACAAATGTACAACAAATTAATGCTCTCCAAAGATCATTCATAGATTTAGTTTATATAGACTTATCACACATGTTTATATAGTAAAATATTACTGCAAAAGGTAAGTATATGAGTATTTTCTTGATTTTCCAAATAATCCTTTTTTGGAATAGGGATAGGGATGAGGTAGAGTGTAGTGTAGTGTAGTGTAGTGTAGTGTAGTGTAGTGTAGTGTAGAGTAGAGTAGAGTAGAGTAGAGTAGAGTAGAGTAGAGTAAAACAGAACAGAATTCTTTATTGGTCAAGTGTGATTGGACACACAAGGAATTTGTCTGCGGTGCATAAGCTCTCAGTGTACATAGTTATCACAGTTTCAATCATTAATCATAGGATACAATTTTCTTTGTCTAATGAGTTTATTGTACCTTTAGTACCCTCACATGCAATCAACTTTCTGTAAAAAAAATTGTAGAATTTATTTTTTAACCATCATACTGACAACTTAAGAAATAGCTGGGATAGCTGTAATTTTGTAAATATAAAGATATAGATCTTACGCTTACATCCCAGTCCTATTGTGTTTATGTGTATTATTAACATATTCACTATTTACAGAATAAATACTGAAGATCAATTGGAGTATTTCATATTTAAAGGAAATATTTCATTCAAATTCTACTAAAGTTTTAACCATACAGACAAAATTCTCAGTATTCTAGTTAGTAAAAAATTCTTTTGAAAATAAGATTCTAAAATCAATCATGGGTTTATAACCAGATTTTTCTACAGTTATGTTTTTCCACCAATAATATGGAAGTTAAGATAGATCATGGGTGATGAAATTCAGAATATCAGGTTCTACAACAGAAAGCATATACTGACTCATTAAAAAAACTTTTATCAAAGGCAAACACTGGAGGTACTGTATATAAGATAAATAAAGAGAATAGGGTCAATTTTACATTTTTAGATGTTGAGAATCAATAATATTTGTACTCCTAATTACTAGTAATCATTTTCTAATACATAATGAAGAATGAACATAATACATAATGGAGAATGAAGTAACTTCAAGTAATAAAAATAATCCTTTTAAAAAACCTGAAGAATGTAGACGCTGAAGTGTGCTACATGGAATATATCAGAAAACAACTCTTTCTCCTTGGGTTCGTTCCCACCAAAGCATGCTATTTAATGTTCCAAAACTGTCTTCTTCTTCTTGCTCTTTGGCAAGTTCCACGAAAACCTACAAACAATACAATTTTTTTAAATGCAACTAATTATCTAAACTCTTTTGATTGATCAAAGTCATAGTAGGTGGTAGAGGTCAGTATTCATGAGCCTATTTGTTAGTAATTATGGCATATGGAAAAATTTGACTTGGCATGTAAAACAAGAATATAATGATAAGTTTAAATTAATCAATGAACTTGTGACTACTTTCATATCTGGTGCAGAGATGAAAGTCAAGTTTACTTATGAATGAAATGAGTAAAATCAGAAATTCAGAAACTATGGATGAGTGAGTATCTTTTCAATTATTGTTGGTTTTATATGGAATTAGAAAACACATGTATATAAGCATTAGTAAGTATAATACAGGAAAATTATTTGGAAAAATCTGAGTTACCTGTTCAAGGGTTGCTTGAGAAAAGCTGTACTCTTCAATATTAAAGGCATGTTTTGCTGTTTAAAAGAATTTAAAAAACTGTTAATTGTCATTGAAAGACAGGTATCAAAATATTCAATATTAAGATACTTTTCAAAACAACCAATTCCATCTGATGCCAAAATCATTGAACAATTAGATCATTCCAAAAGTCCATGCACATGATTTATTAAATTACTAAAACTACTAATTGCTGAATTGAGACCAAATCAAGTTTTGTGTGTACTCTTAGTTAATCTGTTGGAATGCTTTTCTCAGTTGGAAGTTATTTCAATTAACAGGAGAAATTCTGTTGGATTTATTTTCCTCTTCAAAGTTTCTTTGGTGATTTTGAAAAGCAAGGGGAAAAATCAGCAACTGTGTACTAGTGTGGAACTGGTTTCCATTCATGGATGTACTTAGTTCAAGCACTGTTTACAGGTTAAAGAAAAAAGAATGTTCATTTCACACACCTCTGTAACAGTTCTAATGTTCAACTAACTTGTCTACACAACCTGAAAGCAAGTCAGAAAGGCTAGAAATTAGGATATGCAGTCCTTTGAATTTAATCACCATAATGTGACTGGGAACATGAACACAACATCTGTCTGCAATATATTAAAGATCATGTGATCACGTGGCTGCTCTGTGCAGCTGCTTCACAATCCTGCAGATACAGTTGCCTCAGTGTGTTGCAGATAGGTTCATGCACTTTATGAGACTGAAACAAAAACAGTTTAAAACTTCATTTGTTACAATCTATATATATAAAAGTGAAATACCACTCATGCGTCATCACAAAATCTCCAGAACCGTAAAGCCTACAAACTTGATATTTGGCATGTATGTTCCTCTTGGCTTCTAAGTGCTCACGAAGAAAGGGTTTTTCAAAATGATTATCACAGCATTAGTATTTCCTATATTATTATTAACACACTCTGATGCTAAGGAGTTCTACTCCCCCTCGCCACCTGAGAAGAAATATGTTCTAAATGCAGAGGATAGGAGTTTCAGTTTCACTTTTAGTTTCACAGCGCCAAACAGCTTTAGTACATAATAGTTGAGCTAAGCCACGCCCAGGCTCCTTGCTGTCTCCTTGCTCACAGCAAATACTGTTTCAGTTTCCCACCACCCCTCAACTCTCTCACACACTGACAGGACGCTAGCCAGATGAATACCAATGGATGCTGGTAGGCAGAGGCAGAATTTTTCCCCCCTTATTTTCCTCCTCAAAAACTAAGCCCAACTACATAGTTTCGTAGCAGAGCATGGGTATCGAGCTAGTAGCTTGATATATATTAAATGGACCTGATTGAGCAGAAATGGATGAAACCATGACATGAGATGGCAAAATGATGAGGATGGATTATTAAGAAAGTGAAAAGATTAACAAAGAGACAGACATTCTAAGATTATCAGTTCACTTAGTATTCTGCTACCTTACCTTCCTCAAGTTTGGAAAAAGACAGGGCAAGTGAGTGGACATCTTCCTTTGGGATTTTGTATGATAAAATTGACCTAAAACTGCAACAAATAAAAAGAAAGGAAGTGTATTCCAAAACAAGTAGTTTGAATAATATTAGATTTAGGTATATTAATGTAATGTGATTAGATATTTCATCAGACACCAGGATTGTACAGGAGGGTCAATGACATCAAAATGATAGAGGCAACCAACAAGTGAAGCCCTGCCCCCTTTTAATATGTGTTGTACATTGCACACAAACGCAAAAACAGTATGTACAGTCACTCATCATTTTGAGAATATTGACCTTGCCTATGGACATCACTGATAAATACAACTGTTCTATCTTTGCTTTATCCATTTATGAATAATAAAAACTACTTATTAGATACCTTCATTGAGATATAGTATAAATCGGAAAGACGGTGATTACAGAATTCCATATTGTATACTAAATATAATTCATAATTTAATAGCCAAACCAGTAAATAAATGTTAATCACTGAAACATGTTTAGAAACAATGCACTCTAATACAATTGACCATATGCTCATTGCATAAAACCAGAATTAATGTAAAACCGCCAAAATTAATGGATGGAATAATCAGACTGTACACCAGGGCTGTCAAAGTCCTGGCCTGTGGGCCAGATGCGTCACGCAAAGGTGGGGAAGTCTCAATATGTCACGTGAGGCCGCCGTGACGACGTGAGTTTGACACCCCTGCCCTAGACTAACTGGCAGCCATATAAAAAAGCTTTTCAACCCCTTTGAAAGGCCAATAAACTTTATAGAGATGAAAAGACAAAATGGAAGCTGATTACAGAATTGCAAGGCCAGGATCCTGAAAGAAGCCAAAGACTACAATTCTGAAGGGAGAAACTGAAGGATGGTCTGGTGCAAAGGAAATAAGGAGTAAAAAGGATTGCCAGGGTTAAGATAGATATTGAGAAATTTGTGACCAGAGAGCTCCAAATATAAGTACCAATGGTTTTAACTGGGTGTTGGTTCAAATAAGTAGAGCCTTTTGGTACAGAAGAACCTGAGCCTTTTGGTACAACAGAACGTAAGAAGATTGGAAATTATTCAGATCATTGCACATGGAACTATGCTAGACCAAGACCTAAAGAGGACACAAGGAGGAACACCTGCCAGAAGACTTGCAGTAATCTAAGTGTACAAAAAAACCACAGCAACCACTAATAAAGCTAGTCTCTTCTCCATTGTTCCCCATCCTCTTCCTACAATTATTCATCACAACTTTGTTTTTATAATATTTATCTTTTCATTTATCTTTTTATATTTTTGTAATATATTTTGTCTCTGTTATATTTATAATTTTTGCTTATATTAGGTCATTGAACCGCACCCAGAATCACTTTTTGTGAAATGAGTGGCTACACAAATTTGATAAATACATAAATGCAAATTAGTGACCCTTGCTCTAAGATTACCAAATGGGCGTTCTGAGATGGGAGGCTATAAAGAATTGATAAATAAATACAAATAAAGCCAGCTGATCATCAATAAAAAAAACTTTGAGGCTGCAAGTGAAAGAAATTAAGACACCCAAGGTCCCTGGAGACAAATAAGCAAAGACACAACGCAGAACAGGAAGGATAATCAGGCCAAATATGATGTCTGACTTATGCATATTCAACTGGAGGTGATGGGAAAACATTCAAGAGGAAATGCTAGTAAGATACGGGCCATGCATTGTCATCAAGGGTCACAAAAGACCAATAGACAAAGCATTATCAGGGTATCAATGATACTGAAAACCTTACCTGTAAATCAAGGAACTGATAAATAAATAAATAAATAATCCAGTAAATCAGGGAACTCAAAGGATAAATAAAACAGAATATAGGACCGATCTCTGAAAGACATTTAATATAAATGGAAATTGCTGAGAGTGTAGTCCACCATGCAGTATTGCAGAGGAAGGAGAAGACAATTTTTATATCAATCATGCACATTGGCAATGATGCTAAGGAAGCATAATTTAACCAGCAATATTTGGTGGTTGAGACTGTCAAATACTGCCATCGAGTCCAAAAAGGACTGGCAATAGCAATAAAATATTAAGATTTTAGCACTGAAATATCATTCAGTGTTTGACAAAGTGTTTTCTTAGTTGAGTCCCTGGCTGAAATCCTGATAGTTATAGATTAAAAATGTCATTAGAAGACAATAAAAAAATCAATTGTGGGAGGATACTCTCAGAAACCTCAGATCAGAAAAAGGGAACAGAGACCAAATCCAGTAATCTGAAGACAAAAAGGGATCCAAGGAAAATTTCTCCAATAAGGACAAAAAAGGAACATGCTTTAATATATATATATAAAAGAAGACAGCTAGTAGATGAAATGGGCATTCACCACTTTATTAAAGGAAAAAAGTCCCGAGTCCTTACAAGAAAGAGAACAGCTGGGAGACAGTACACTCTGTAGTTTAGTAGTGGATAATGCTAATAACAAAACAAGGGGGGAAACTGTTGAGAAGTCCTGGTTTGAAAAATGAATGACAGCTTGAAACAAAGCTTGCTTTGTCTCTTGCAGGTGTTGAGAATAATTATCCAAAGTTTCTGCATCTGGTTGGAAGAAGTTCTCTCCAGGTGCTTTTCTGGCCTATTGGCAGCCATCTGAAGGACACCAGGTCAAGTAACTGACACTAAGATTGAAGGATGTTGAAAGCTTTTCCAAGGCTTACTCTCTGTCCCATCATAGGCTAAACAAAATTAAGGCTAGGCTATTTGAATTTCAATTTACAAGGACAAATATCCATTTTTATTATCATATTTAGAAACCACCCAACTCCAAGATGTAGTTGAAATGAAACTTTCTAAAACCCTTTTAAAACTAAAATAGCCTTTATCAAAAGGTTAACAAGAAATCTGAATTTCAGACATAACAATCAAAACACTATAAAAGGAGCTTAGAACATAGATACTTAAGCAAAAAGTATTACAAATAGGAAACTGAAGAGACACAGACAATGAGGAATGGAACTGTGAAATGATCCCCACTAATCCTGTAGTGAATGACTATACAGGTACACACAAATGGCAGCCTCTATTTTAGCCTTAGTGAAAAGACTGTACATCTCTAGGTAAGGGATGAAAAATTAAAAACTACAATAAAATCCTATCAATATAATTATCCTGTAATATTAGACCTGCATATAAGAGTTCTAAAATAAATAAGTATATTTGTACAATATATAAAAATGTCAACATTTATCATTAAGATTCTAGTGATTAGATGTAATTTTCTATTATATATACCGAAAATTACAAGAAACACTAAATATGGATTATATGAAAGACATTTTGTCCTTGGAGACTAAATGCTCTGCAATTTTTAAAACATCCTATTCTTCCTTTGGACACAAAACCAGTTTCTTTCAGGACCATACTGTGAACGGACCATGTTACAGCTGGACCAGCATGTTCCATAAACTAATTATATAATACATTTAATTTCATACATTAACTGGTGAATCTAAAGTAGAAGCTTGGGCTTCTCAAATTGCATCTTTATGATTTTTTTAAAATTGATTAAAACTTAGAAGTCAAGTTTTACCTAGCTGATAAAATCAGATCAGATTAACTAATGGGAAGGGCCTAGAGTGAATTAAGCACTACTGTAATCAAGCATGTCGCCATCCATCCATTATTCTCTCTAATCCTTATGCTGAGTGTAATGAGACAGCTCTAGTATGAGAAGGAATTGATTAATAGCCACTTGACTTGTAACAACAGCCTTTTACCTTTCCTGAGGTCTTCCATTGGGAAAGATACGCAAAACTGCCCTTTGGAGCTGTTCCTTCATCTGTAAATCTGGAACTTCTTTTAATTTCATTTCTAAGAAATATCCTTTGCCAAATTTAGTCTTGAGGTGTTGAACTGTACCAATGCACCTATCAATTGTTTGGGGCAGGAAGAAGAGAAAAGCAGGCAAAAATAGATTTGATGTTAAAATCACTGTTGGTGTTAATTGTAAATTTGGTTTCTTTTTTTCCCCAATACCTCAATATCTAGAGAAGGTACCTCAATTTTCCAGACACCAAGATAGCCACTCGATCACACACAGCTTCTGCTTCTTCCATGTAATGAGTAGTCAGAATAGCTGCTCTCTTTTTACTTTTAAAGGCTGCTCGGATGGCTTTCCTATCAAACATAATAGATACTCAGGAAAAAATAGTCTTGCTAAGCCAACTCCTCTTTATATCATACAGTCCCAATCTGATTAGTGTAAAGAAATATATTAATCTTTCCCAAAACTAAAGCTGCAGCTAGGAAGAACAAGTGGGAACTAAATCCAGGTAAAATGAAGCTGCTGCTGGTAAGAAAATAAATAAATAAATAAGGTTCTGTTCTATTTTAGATAACATTGCTCATCCCTTGAAAGAGTAAGTTTAAAGTCTGGAAATGCTCATTGCTCTTCAACTCTTCCAAATATAAATAAATGATGGCTAAGGCAAGGAGTATTATGTATTTATTTGGTTTCTATGTTCCTCCATTCCAAAAAGCTCTGAGCAACTTTCAGAAAATAAAAAAAGAGATAAAGCCAATTAAAAAAAATACTTAACAATTAAATATAACCAAGCTGTTATGCCACAATTCATAAATAGAACTCACTTTGTTAGATACAAGCAACCATAGCTACATGTAAGAGTTCAAGTTGACTACTTTATTTATTTATTTATTTATTTAGTGTATGGCATGTTAACACATGGAATCACTGAATGGCTGGCTGCCTCTGAAAGGAATTTTTTTGGGCAGTGTTATCTTTACCTGCAGGACACCTGAATGCTGGTAGGCAGTCGGGAGGCTCCTTTCTTGTCTCTCCATGGTTTATTTTCTCACAGGAATCAAGCCGCCAACTGCTGACCTCAGCGGTGGCCCAGGCCCCGCATCTTACCACGTAACCCATCACGGCCCCATTACTTTATTATATTGTACCTATACAAGAATCTCTCCTGACTCTCCCTTCTTTGGGAACAAATATAAAGTTCCTGAATCTTAGGGAAGACAGTCCTCCATCTCAAGGCTTGATCCCTCCTCCTTGTCTGGCTAGTAGTTGCCCAACACGCATCTTCAATAAACTCTAATAAAAATAGTTTTTATGACTCTTTAGAAGATTAATTGGGAGGTCCCCCCCAAACAGGGAGTAAGCTGTTCCACAAGGGACGGGGACTATTTATTTATTTAGAAATTTTATATTGCTGCCTATTCCCACATGGCGACTCAAGGCGGCTTACAGGAATATAAAAACTATCATTGAGAAAACTTGATAATGGGGTCCCTGCTGATAATATTGTCTCCGCACAAGGTTATTCAGAAAGCCTTCTCTGACTGTGTCAGGCAGGCAAATTAAACCTGGAGAAGACAGCTTCAGAGAAATTTAAGCCCTGAGCCATAAAAGTAATAGCTAGCACCCTGAATTGTACTTGGAAGCTAATCAGCAGACAATGCACCTCCCATAATAGAAGCATTAGATGGCCAGGTCAGGATGCATCCATAATTCCTGGGTCGCTATATACTTATGTTATTAGGTATTTCTGCTACTTTTTACTAGAACTTTGCTAATTAATAAGGTGAGCTAAAAATTGAGTTTACAGACAATGGGATGAGGAATGGAAAGAAGATGTGTTTTATGAGATAGTGATGAGTTTTTTTTAATAAAGCCACTTTTGGACTTTTTGTGAGAAAGTAGGGAACACAATTTTTATTTTGGGATTTATTAGAATTATACAGAATTATAGAAGTAATTAGAGTGAGAGTTAAGATGCATTTTTATTTATATATGTACCAAAGAAAGTTGAAAGCCATTTACTATTTTCTTTTTCTTTCATATTTATCTTGCTTTTTCGTCTTTATTTCCTGTTTTCTTGCTTTTAGTTTACTTTTGTTTTCAAAATTTAACAAAATCATATTTTTAAAAGGGGGAATACATCCGCATCTCATCATTATCATGGCTGGTTGCATAATCAGCCAAATGTCTAGACTGGATTTGTCATTTTTATCCACCTATCAAATCTTTCCAAGGACCTGGGATAGGCAGATCTTATCTGATAGTGTTAAAGGTATCAGTCACAGGATGTAAGCTGTTCCAAGTAAAGCTGCCTTTTGCAACTGATTGATGGCTATTTTGTCAATGCCGATGGTGTTCCAAGTGGTGCTCCGGCCATTTTGGAATTGCACCCAAGGCACCTATTACTATTGGTACTACCTTTGCTTTCTTTGCTCTTATTTCTAACTGAAGGTCTTTGTATTTTGTGATTTTTTTCCAGTTCTTCTGTTCTGCTGCAACATCCACTATCCAGCCTTTTTCATCTCAAGTCTGGAATGTTATGTGATGAGTGCTCTTTGAATTCTAAAGTCCCAGAGCACTTTAGCTTCTTCATTTTCTATTACTTTGTCTATTTTTAGTCTCACCAGTTCTCTCTTGCAGGCAAATGGTATTATTTGCAGATATTCCAATGCACCATAATTGCTATTTTGTCATGCCA